TGTCAGAGAGACAGAACACAAGCAGGGGGAGAGGCAGGCAGAGGGAGAAGCAGGCTCCCCGCCGAGCAAGGAGCCCAATGTGGGACTCGATCCCAGGACCCTGGGATCATGACCTGAGCCGAAGGCAGCCGCTCAACTGACTGAGCCACCCAGGCGTCCCTTTCCTTCTTTTCTTTCTTTCTTCTTTTCTTTCTTTCTTTCTTTCTTTTTTTCTTTTCTTTCAAGAAAGAGTGCATGCATGCCCAAGAGGGTGGGGAAAGGGCAGAGGGAGCGGGAGAGAGAGAATCTGAAGCAGGCTCCAGGCCCAGTGCATAGCCCATCGTGGGGCTCGATCTCACAACCCTGAGACCATGACCTGAGCCAAAATCAAGAGTTGGATGCTTAATGGACTGAGTCGCTCAGGCGCCCTGAGACCGTGCAGTTCTAGATGGTGCTGCTATAAGAAGGCAGAACCTCTGGCAGCCTGAGTTCCTGAATGTCTGAATGGAGCAAAGCTCCCTGAGAATCCCTGCTGGATAGTAACATGAACAAGAAATAAGCTTTCATTTATTTGGGCTTTGTCTATTGCAACAGCTCTTAATGACCTACACTGACCAGGTCTCCTGGAAGTTTGAGAATCATTGAATTATAAACTGTGAGAAGCAAGGCAGAAAGACCATTTAGGATCATATTACAATGCAGCTTTCACAGTAAGTTTGGAGTTCGATAGGAAAGAGAAGACGCAAGAGAACTGATGATGGGTTTGTCATGGATTGGATGAGAGGAATGAGTGACAGAGAGAAATCAGATTTCTTGCTTAGATGAATAAGTAGGTGATGTCATTTGAGTTGATAAAAAAGGCGTAGGAGAACTAGTTTGGGAGTAGAGCTAGTGAATTTAATCCCTGCTGACTTTGAGGTGCCTGTGGACTAATGGTTCAAAGTTTACTTCAGCATTGACCGTCTGGTACATTCCAGGACAGGTACAAATGGTTTGGCTCTCAAGGGACCAAAAACTGGTTAAATAGATAAATCCAACGTAATACGTAAGAGTAGTGATAAACGATACCCACAGTGCTCTTAGAGACCAGAAGAGAGGGACCTACTCTGGAGTGATGCATCTGGCAAGGCTCTTGAGACGAGATGATACCTAATGGAGTCTTACAGCATGGATAGAGCAGTGGGATAGGGTAGGGGGCCAGGGCAGGTGTCTTAGACCATTTGGGCTGCTGTAAAAAGAAAAAAAATCCACAGACTAGGTGGCTTATAAACGATAGAAATTTATTTTTTACAATTCTGGAGGCTGGAAGTCTGAGATCAAGGGGTCAGCATGGTTGAATGAAGGCCTTCCAAGTTGAAGACTTCTTGTTGTATCCTCACCTGGCAGAAGGGGAGAAGGAGTTCCTGGGTCTCTTTTATAAGGACACTAATCCCATTCATGAGGGCTCTCTCTCCATGATCTAATCACCCCAATGGCTCTACCTCTTAATCCTATCATGCTGGGGGTTAGGTTTCAACATACGAATTTTGGGGGAGACATACACATTCAGACCGTAACAGCAGGGTATGAATGGAGGAACAGGAGGGAGAAGGTGGTAAAGGCATTTAAGGTAGAGGGGACAGCACGATGCAGGCATTGAGTTCAAGAAAAGTTCAAGGATTTCACAATGGCTACAGGGTAAACATCAAGGAGGAAGCACATGAGGTAATGCAGGCACAGCAGCAGGGCCAGATTATGGAAGGTGACTGTTGTCCTGTCTGCTTTTGTGCCATAGACAGACGATGGAGGAGGGATTGAGGAGGACGGGAGCTGTAGCCACCGGGACAGATGGGAAGCTGTTGCAGTAACTACGGAGAGAAATGAGAAAAGATGACGCCTTGAACCTAGGATTAATTTGAGAATGTTCAGGAAGTGAAACTTACTGAGTTTGGTGATGTGTGGTGTTAGGACTAAGGAAGAGGAAGAGGGAAGCGTCAGGGATGCCTCCCAGATTTCTAGGGGACTGGGCAGATGATGGTGCTAACAGGGCAAAGTGAAGACAGAGTAAAAGCAGCACCTACTGGAGGGAGATGGGGAAGGTAACTGCTTCTCCCCATCCACAGAATTCCCAGGAATACGGTCTAGTGGGAAAGAGTGGGTCAGGACTGTGGGTATATTTGCCTGTTTCCAGCCCTCCATCCCAAAACGGAAATGAATTTTTATTTTCACTACCACCATTCAGGAAAAACTGGGAAATGAGCAGCAGGACTTGAGAACAAGGCTATAAAGCATGAGGGTGCTAAGAAACGGCCAGTGGCAGCTGACTGTGGACCTCTTGTATGAGGACCAGGAGAGGAGATGGCGGTGAGAATCCATGCAAGCACACAGATGACACTGGAAGGAGGGACCCCTGGGTTTGGAACTGGAAAAGGAGCAGAGAGAAGCCACGGACCTCTGAATGGCTCTGGAGCATGGGGGAGAAGGAGAATGAAGGAGCCCACAAGATGGATTTCACCAAGCAAGGAGTGGTTGGACTGGCCTGAGAATTTCCAGGGGCCTCCAGAAGTAGGGCAAGATAGCATGCCGGGCTATGTTGGGGGAACAGGGTTATGACTCGAAACCCGAAACTACTCTGGAATTGAATATGATTCAGTTTTTATTTTACTTGGGCTGAATATTTCTCATACTTGAAGTTTGTTTTGCCTCAGTGGCACTTTTTTGTGTTCTGGGGAGCATGGGATCAGAGGCCAGGAACAGAAGGGGTAGTCCTGGAGTGTGGCCTGAGGAGGGGAAAAATGTTCCTCTCTAGATCTCCGGTTGGCATTAATCTTCAAAATAAGCTTGAGTTTGGGGAGAGACTGGACATTGAGTATGAGGACTTGAGGTGGGTGGGGTGCTATTACTCGAGGACATGCTTTGTTTTGTTCTTTCAGCAAAGTTGCACACTCTTTCAAATAGGGAAGAGCTGGGCTCTCTGAAGGACTTTTAATGAGAAAAAATGAGGAAACCAATTTTCTTTCCAAACTTTATTATAAAATTTTTTTATTATGAGGGTTTAACAGAGCAGAGCTGGACTTGCCATCTCTCTTGTGAAACCTCAACAACTTACAAAATTAATAAATAGGAAACTAGATTTAGTTTTTTTTACAGCCATGTCATGCACTCCTAAGACACAAAGAGGAAAAAATCCTGTAACCATATGTAGTACAAACTCAGAAATTTTCAACCGCCACTAAATTCTCTGTAGGATTTCCCCAGGCAGAACAGATAATCACACTCTTTCACCTTTCTCTAAAGACTTAAGAAACATAAATAGATCCATAAATAGTTCATATAAATATAGGTTTACCTGTTAAATAATAAAACTCTCAAGTCTGGAATCTTGTCTTAAACAATACAAAATAAGGCATGTAATTCATTAAAATGGAATCTTCTGCCCCAAAGTTATCTCAGGGTCTATTAAATACATAAATAACTTAAAGCCCTTAGAAAAGCACACAAAAAGCAAATTGGTACTCAGTCAAAACTTTGATCTCTGGGGAGAGGGAAAGATCATTCATATTCTATCTCTGCACAAAAGTGTTATCTCTGAAAGTTCAATTGGGTGAACCAGTTTAAGAGCCCTAGTGAGTTTGGTCAGAAATGGGGCTGGGTCTATTCCTCCAGAAAGCCTAACTGCTCTGGGTTAGACCAGAAGCTCTTAAGCCACATGGCGCACAATGGGGGTGACGCAGGTGCAGCCCACGGCCACCAGCATCTTCTCCAGCCGGAAGGAGTGGGGACAGTGCTGAGACTCCCTTCGCAGAACAAGGATCTCTTGCTGGATGGGGACAGAGTTCATGTGGTAGTTTATCTTCCCTTCAGCATTGACACAGCCCAAGTGGCGGCACTTGGCCTCCCAGATCACAGAGGGATATCTCTCAGGGTCCTCATTGCGGCTGCAGGGGAGACAAAAGTGAGGGATAAAGTAAGTACCTGGTAAAGCAGGAAGGAAATAAGATAGGAATAAATGAAGGGAGGCAAATTCACAGGGTGACCAAGTATAGGCATTGCAAAGTCTCGAAGGGCTGCTAGTCAGAAAAAGTAGTTTGGGGGAAAACTTGGATTTGTAGGCACGTGAAATGTTATAGAAGAGAATGATCATTTTTTCCCCCAATTTCTTTGAAGAATGAACCAAATAAGATAGACTAGACTGCAGAGGGGATTTAAGTTTGATACAAAGGACAATTTCTTAAGGTATATTTGATAAAGGCCAAGGGCATCATCTAGGAATATGATAGCCATTAATCTGACTTAATGAAGTCTGGCTTTGAAGCAGGGAATGCATCAAAATTTTATCTGACAGCACATTCATGGGATAGAGCCCAGAGCTGACATGAAGGGCTGGAAACAAAAGCTTAAGCCCCTCTACAACCTTCTCTTCCCTCTCTCCTCCAGCTGAGTGAATGACTTGCTTTGACTTTTCAGTTGATTTATTTGAACTATTCTTAGTAATGGGAGTAGAAGAAAATCACGGTCAGGTGAATCTATAGTCACCACATAACTGAGGCTTTTTTACACAAAATCAAAGCACTAAAAACTATTTTGTATTTAATCTTAATAGGGTCTAAATATTAGATGTACTAAGAACACAGCAAATATAGGTCTGTTGGTGATATAGATCAAGTTTGTCTGACTCAAAAAGGGGTGGAAATATCCAACATGACATTTCCTTCACTGGGTTTCAAACTATATTATCCAACTGCTAATACAACCAAAAAGAGAAAGGCACAAAAATCCCAGTTAATTACTAGTTATTTTCAACAAATCATTGCAATGGAAGGCCTGGTAAAGAGAATTCAAGCATTAATCCCCAAGATAAATTTCTATTTTTTTAAAAGTAAATGAACAATAGACTTGGGGTATCATAAATTCTAGAATAATGACCACCATTAACGTGAGGGGGTTTTTGGTGTCAGTGACAATGAGATCTAATGGATAGGTATTATGCAGGAGAAGGGGTCCTGTGCTCTATCAAAGAGGTCTGTAGAATAAAATTTGAGAATCTTTGCACAATAGCCCTTCCAGATTTGACTGATGATTCTGAGTAAAATCATCCTCAAGGTGACTTAACTGGCAGTCCTTTGCAGAAAAGATAGAACAATACAGAGATTTTTATCGGGAGCCATTCATTACATACTGCAGATTCCAAGGTGAAGTGGATCGGTTGTAGTAATCTGAGGGCCTTCTGGAGTTCGTATTCTGGTTAAGGATATTTAGATTGACCTTCACATGCTGAGGGAAGTTCTTGTCCTCAGTATTTGGGCATCCTGGATTTTGTGGGAGTGCTATTCCCGCCTTCCCAATAGCCACTAGGCTCAGCAGCAGCAGCAGTACCCGGAACTGAATGGGAGAAAGGAGAGGTAGGACACCGGATTAGCATGTGGTTTTTGTTAACAAATTGTAAAGAGTATTGTATTGTTAATCATGGAGAACATTCTATGTTCCAGGGCAATCTACAATAAATTTTCGGATCACTTAGATGAAAAACTGGTTATATGACCAAAATAAGGTTAAGACTATGGAGTGTTTACTAGTCTTGAACATTCTTCTTTTGACTTAGAGAGACACATTTTTTATTGGTTGGCAGTAATTTTAGTAAAAATAGCAAGTCATCGATCTCGGTCCTAACATTCTGTGAAACCCTATGTGAAGTCAAATGTTCACTTTAGAAGAAAAGGTTGTAGAAAATGCATGTCATATCGTATCAGTGTTCATGTTAGAAATGCTGGGCAGTCATTCAACCCCAAACTGGTCCCCCCCTTACGTTTTCTTATGTATATTTTCCAGTTTTTCTAAATTTACATATATTGATTCTGTAATCAATTAAGTTAAATATTTCAAAAATATAAAGACCATTTACTCTAAACCATAGTTACACATGTATCTATTAGAGTAAGTAGGCTTGGTGTATTAGACTATGGTATAATAGGGGCGCCTGGGTGGCTCAGTTGGTTAAGCGTCTGACTCTTGATTTCGGCTCAGGTCATGATCTCAGGGTTGTGAGATGGAGCCCTGTGTCAGGCTCCATGCTCAGTGGGAAGTCTGCTGGAGATTCTCTCCCTCTCTTTTTGCCTCTTTCCTACCCACCCCCAAAATAAATAAATAAATAAATCTTTAAAAAGAAGCCTGTGGTATAATAATAGAATAATGGAAAGGAAAGTCAGTGCTGCAATTAATTAAATCCTCAAGGATAGTGTTCCATTTTATTATGGAATAAAGAAAAATGCTGTGGGAGAATTATATTAAATCTCTTGTACTCAGAAAAACAGATTTTCAATAAGCATTCTTTCTCACTGCACAGCATCATGTGACACTTCTCATGTGGTTTAGCCCCAATCTAGCTATCTTTCAGTTTTAATCTCATCTTTCAAACTGATGTGTATCAGTTCTTGAAAATGCTATAAAATGATGAGTATCAACCAAAGCTTTAGTATCCTATCCTATGTATGCAGCATTCTTGGATCTCCATAGTTAGAATCCAGAATTTCATGCCTGCAGTCCAGAAATATTATCTGGACCAAATCAACAAAAGCATTGCACATTAGTGCAGGACTCACCATGGATGAAACTGTCACAGGAGCCATTGTAGTTTCTTCCAGTTGACTGGCGATGGATCAGCTTGTGGCTGCTTCGAGATGGACAGATTGTAGCACTACCTTGCCCCTTTTTATAGGACTTCGCTCCTCTGTGGTCACTTATGTTGACGTATTGAAGTGGTTCAAAGGATGACACCATTTTCGTTAAACGTTCCATCCTCAAATGAGGTCAGAAAAGAACCTCCCCTTCATGACGGGTAGTATCTACCTCTGAAGGAAAACGGAAAGAGCAAAAATTCATGTTTCGAAAGACTATGTCCTTTCTTCATTCTTCAAGGAACTATTATTTGTCAGAAGTTGAGCAAGGACGCGTTACTGATGAGCTGGTATCATCTACTTATGGGCGTATATGAAGCTGCCATAAGAGCTATGCTCTATTTTAATGGTTCGTGGGGAAATGAAAGTTTGATACAACATTCAAGTCTTCTGGTGTCATGTACCTTGATTTCCCATTGGATAACTCCTTTCCTCACCAGATTCCCCAGACAGATGTTGTGGAGTCCATTCTAAAAACTATTCAAGGTCTTGGGCACCTGGGTGGCTCAGTTGGTTAAGCGACTGCCTTCGGCTCAGGTCATGATCCTGGAGTCCCTGGATCGAGTCCGCATTGGGCTCTCTGCTCAGCATGGAGTCTGCTTCTCCCTCTGACCCTCCCCCCTCTCATACTCTTTCTCTCTGTCTC